ACTTTACATTCCACATTATAATATAATTATTCAAATTTACTCTATTTACAATATATTCGAAAAAGAAATTATTTTTTTTATTTAATTAATTTCTATATAGATTATAATTAATAATTAATTACTTGTTAATTAATAATTAATTACTAGTTAATTAATAAGTAATTTACTAGTTAATTAATAATTAATTACTATTCAATTAATAATTAATTACTACTCAATTAATAATTAGTTAATTAATAATTTATTTTCAGTTAATTAATAATTAATAATTAATTAATAAATTAATATTAAATTTATTAAATTTTCCACAATATTCAATTTATTGAATTATTGAATTCGCCAAATTATTAAAAACCGTTTATGAGCGAAGTATTCTTCAGCCATCTATCGGACAGTTCAATTGGCGCGAAATTCAAAAAGGGCAATTTCACTTAGGCGCTAATTATGCTATTTATTAGCTAATTACTTATTTATTAGCAATTTATAATTATTAATTAATAAATTATTAATTGTTAGTAATTATTATTTAATTATTAACAGGTAATTAAATTAAAAAAGTAATAATTAATACATTTATTAATTATTGTGATGAGTATTAATTATAATTAATTAGAAATAAGTTAACAATATACAGTGGATGATAACGCGGGAAAATGAAAAGGTTAGTGTGACACCTGAAACGCTTTCGAGAAAGCGAATTTTTTTTCCCTCTTTTTTTTTATTACAGAAATCACTGCAAAAAGAGAAAGATATCGGAAAGGCAGGTAAAATGCGTCAGGTGATTTTATGATTATTGGTAAAAGATGCTCTCAAAGAGGACAACCGACAAGCCGATGTGATGTCTATCATTTCCATTAACAATATTTTCTAAACAAAAATTAAAATTCTTGTCTACATACGATTCTAATAAACAAAAAAATTTATAATAATGATAATAATAAATAATAAAAAATAATAATAATAAATAATAAAAAATAATAATGAATTTTAAAAATAATAATACCTAATAATAAATAATATTTATTTTATTATTATTAATAATTATAAAAAAAAAATTTTAAAATAGTTTCAATATTGAAAAATTAGTTTAAATTTTTAAAGAAATTTTGAATTTCCCGCTTTCGTGGTTAGTTCGTACTTCCGCCGCAACTTGTAATTCTCTCACAATTGAGATGACTTTTCAAAGTGATTAGAGGAACGTAACGTTAGCGTAAATTCAATATTTCAAGGGGAGAGATTCCCACTGAAAAATTGTAATAAATAATAATTATAAAAAAATTATTTAAATACAGAAAATAAAATAAATAAAGAAATAAATAGAGAAAAATAAATAAAAGTTCATAATTAATATTTTTTATAACAATATATTGCGAATCCGCTGTGAGTGTGGCCTAATAATTGCATTCTACGATCATTAGTACCATTTTTCGCCGCTATGGTTAGCGCCCCTTGTTTCGACACATGCGCCGTGGGAGGAGACAGAAAAAATCAAGATGGCGGACAGAGTGACAGCACGTGGTCATTTCCAAGTTTCCAACGTGGGAATTCAGATTTCAATTATCTTTTCAACACTAATTGTTGCACAATGGCGTTCTATTCTTCAACAAAAGTGACTCTGGATCCTCTGGATGACAGCATAGGAAGACTAAAAGGTTAGTTTTTACATATTCTTTCGGAATTTTCGTCTTAATTGTGCGAAATATTTCGTGTGCACGCACGCAGTTGCATAAATATTTCCACTTCTGAAATTGGAAATTTCTTAAAGAATTATTCAAAAACCAGTAAGTAGTATAATATTTAATTCATGTACGATATTTTTTACATACCACGTAGCAAATTTTTCATAGATTTTTAATACCCCCTCCTAGTGATTTACAGATTTTCCTCCCCCTCTCCTTAAAATTTCCACGTGGTATTGAATATTTTTTGCCTCTATTTTGTTTTTCTTTTCTTTCTAAAATGGTGATTTACAGACTTTTCTCATCTCCCCCCTCAAATTTTCCACGTGGTGTTCATTATTCTCTTCCTCCATTTTGTTTTTCTTTTCTTTTCTAGCGTGTGAGATTTCGATATAATTCTAGATAAATAAAATTGCTGTAAAATATTATCAAATCATTTTATAATAATCATTTCAAAAAGAAATAAATTTAAATATTAAATAATCGTTCGTTCGCGTTCCCACTGCAACTTTTAGTTCTCTCACAACTGAGATGCGTTTTCAATTTGTATATAAGAACGTAACATTCAGCTCCGTATTTCTATCGAATTGGAGAATATTTTCTTTATTTTTTTTGGAAAAAAAGTTAAAAACCAGTTTTTTTATAGAAAATCAAAAGGTAAGAGCAATTTTAATTTTAAATAGATATTAAATAATATTTTTCATAATCTCTGACACACTGGTATTATTTTCCATAGAATTGTAAATAATTAAATTTTACAACAACACTAATAATAATGATAAAAAAATAGTTAATAATAAAAAAGAATAATAATAATAATGACAACAATAATAATTATAATAAAACAAAATAATAAAAAATACGTTTATATTTAAAAATAATTTTTAAATGTAGAATGAAAATTATTTTTTAAATGTACAATTTATTTCAATTAAATTTACAAAAATTTCCAAATAATTGAAAATACCTATAATTTAATCTTTTAAGAATAATTTAAGGAAATGCGAAAACATTTTAATTACAATTTTTCAATTATTTTTAGAAGTAGTAAAATTATTCAAACAATTCAATTATTTAAAATAAATGTAATAATATTCATTGCAAGAATTCAATTATTATCTTCATAAATAATAAATCAATTATTCGGTAATTCATTTTTAAATCAATTTTTATTAGAAAATTCTAGAAGAATTTTCTGATTTAATTAAATTAGAAATTAAAATTAAAAAATAAATTAAAAGTTTAAAGTTTAAATTAAAAAATAAATAATTTATTGAATAACTGAATGTTTGTTAAAATTTGAATTATCATAAAGAATTTTATCAACAAATTTTTAAATAATTGAATTCTTTTGACAAATTTTAATAAAATTTTTAAGAATAATTACATTTATTTAATTATATTTTCGAGAAATTTTATTAAAATTACATCAAAAATAATTAAAATCCTGGGATGAGTTTTATTATTTATGAAAATAATTAAAAATTTTCCCAAGAATTTTATTAAAATTTTTCTAAAATGATTGAATTTCGGAGAAGAATTTTATTATTTATAAAGATACTTGAAATTTTGAAAAGGATTTTTTTTTAATTTTTGAACATAATTGAATTTTTACGAAGAATTTAATTACTTTTGAAAATAATTTAATTCTTCAAACGAATTTTATTTAAGTTTATAAAAATAACTAAATTTCTGTGAAGAATTTTATTATTTATAGAAATAATTTAATTCTTGCAACGAATTTTATCCAAGTTTATAAAAATAATTGAATTTCGGTGAAGAATTTTATTATTTATAAAAATTTTTGTAAATAACAGAATTCCTGTGAAATTTTGCCAAGAATTTTATTAACATTTTTAAAAATAATTGAATTTCGAAGAAGAATTTTATTATTTATAAAGATTATTGAAATTTTGACGAGAATTTTTTTTAAATTTTTAAACATAATTGAAATTTTGCGAAGAATTTTTATAACTTTTGAAAATAATTGAATTTCTAGAATCATTTGAAACTTTTCCAAAATTAAATTTTTTTTTATTATTTTGAACCAAAAATTCTTCTATCAATCTAGTATTTATGAAAATTGTAAAAATTATTCATAAAACTTACTTTCCGCTACTTTTTTTCATTTTTTTCAGTTGAAATTGTAGCTGCATTTTTACTACTTTTTCAGTCTTAAAGCTACTTTTTAAAAATAAATTATTGAGTGCGAAGCCTGTAAACGGTTTTAGTCTAATGTAGAATGAAAGTAAGATTTCTTTTTTCATTGTACAGTAAATAAAAAAATTCGGTTTATTAAGAAAATCAGTTTATATTTTGAGATAGAGTTCAAATTTCCCGCTTTCGTCATTAGTTCGCGCTCCCACCGTAACTTGTACTTCTCTCACAAGTGACATGCGTTTTCACTTTGTATAATATAAGAACGTAGCATTCGGTATGCTTGTCTCCATCGAAATGGAGTTATTCTTTCGAGAAAAAAAATGTTAAAAACCAGTTTTCTTTTTAAGGAAAGCAAAGTTAAGAGTAATTTTAATTTTAAAAATACATTAAAATATTTTTTTCTCTCAATGAATTTTGCGCCTCGTCACAAAAATTCGCAAGATTGTCAATACACATATATATATATATATAAATGGGAGCTGAGAAATTCTTTTGCTTTCAAAAAAAGGAATGAACGATAATCGCTGTATGGAAAGTTAGCGGATAATATGGGACGCGTCGAGCCTGAGGATCTGCATATCGAATGATTTTAGATATTATACCGATTCGCAACAAGAAAAGTGGCATCACAGTCTTCAGTGTGTATATATAGGTATATATACACAAATATATATAGATATACAAACATTCATAAGGATTCTAAAGCAAATTTAAACGGGGTCTGATGCAAGGGGGCCAGCGTCACCGGGAGGCTGAGAGAGAGGGGAGAGAGAGGTCCAGAGGAGGGCGAACGGTGTTCGTAATCAAAGAGGCAATTCATGGCACGGAAGAAAGTCTGTCTACCGACAGAGTTTCAGTTCAGCACCGCGCGTTGTACCGTAAACACGTGAAATCACCACCCCCTCCCCCCCTTCTACCCCTTCTCATTTTTACCTTATTTTATATCACACAAAAAATCCCTCGTTATTTCTTTCGAAAATTCGGTTACATTTATAAATATAATAAAACAAACAAACAATTTTTATTTCTATTATCCAATCTGGAAGGAATTTTTTTTCTTAACAAGTAATCAGAATTCGTAATAAAGTAAAAAAAATCCTTTTTTTTTTTAAAAGGATCCCCAGATGAAGAATTTTGCAATAAAATCAATATAAAGTGAAATTTTCGTTAAAAAAAATTTTTTTTTTAACATTCTCGAAAGTGAAAATAAAAAAATTGTGTGAAGAAGAAGAAGAAATTTTACTGTGACGAGCCATTAGGGGAAAAATATTTTTGGAAACTGGAAAAAGGACAATATTTCACAGAAAGGGAAATTTTGAAGAGGAAAAAATTTATATTTTCATTGAAGAAAAATGATCGATTAGAAAAAAGAAAGAAGAAATGTTTTCTTCTGAAAATTGAAAATATGTGAGAAATTTTCCCCTCCTATCGGAAAGTGAGAAAAAAAGTGATTTTGTATTTTTTTAAAACTTTTATTTTGTTTGTGTTTTTTTTTTTTTTTGAAAAAAAAATGTTAAGTACAAGTGTTTCTACAATATTTTCGTGTGCTCAAACTTTGAGAAAGGGTTAAATGAGGTGTGGTAGTAGGAAACTTTTGTGAGGAAATATTGTGAATGTCGTCCGTGACACGGAAATATACACAAACACCTGGCTCCTCGATACTGAATGGTATGTGAATTTTTACTATATTAATTTATTGCAAATTTTACTATTAAAACACTAGTGTTTAATTTATTATTTTTATTTGTAGGATAATATGAGATATTTATTTCATTTTATAGCCTAAAAACCGGGTTTTTACTATTATATTCTCACACTAAGTAGAAACGATTGTTGTTATTATTATTATTAAAAATATTATTACTATTATCATTATTAATATTTTTACAATTATTTATTATGCACACTTTATACTTCCGGCTTTGAACGTGAATTTTTATTATTATTATTATAATTCTCATCATATTTGTTTTTTTATTTATATTTTATTTATATCATACACAAATTTTTTATTATCTTTTATTTTCGTTTTCATAATATTTTTATATTTCATTTATTAGTATTTTTTTGTAGTAGAATTATTTTTTCTAGATTATTTTAATATCGTTTATTATTTTAATATTATTATTATTTTTTCTAAATTATTTTATTATTATTATTTATTATATTATTATTATTATTATTATTATTATTATTATTATTATTATTGTACTATATTATCACATAAATTAAAAATCATGAATTTTCATTTTTTCTATAACTTTTATTGTGAAAACAAAAATCTAAATATGTGGGGAATCGAACCCAGGTCTTAAATTTGCAAAACCATGAATATAACCACTGGACTAAATTAACTTTTTCAGTAATTGAAAATAAATTAAATTTACTATACACAGTTGAAGCCTATCGGCTGTTGAACGTGGAAATAAATCAAATTAATGTACAATATAAATAAATAAATGAAATTAAGTAAATAAAGAAATAAAAAAAATTATTAATTAAAATTCTCTCTAAATTTGAATTAGTTAAAATATTTGCTAATTTCAATTAGTAACTGAATAAAATTTAAAATTAGTAAAAATATTTTACAACTAATTTAGATTGAAGAGAAAAGATAAAAAAAGGCGAAAAAAGCAAAAAAATAACTAAAAGAGAAGCAAAAAAAAAATAGTATTGCGAAGAAAAAATAAAATCGAGGATTAAATATATTTTTTAATAGAAAGAGAAACAAAAATAAAATCGAGGATAAAATTAATTTTTTTTTATGAAAAGAAAAAAATAAGAAATGGTATATATTTATAGGTATGTGTTTCACAAACATTAAATCAGCAAGTGCAAATTTTCAAACATGTGACATACATAAATAAAAGCCTTAAATAGTTGGTCGAGTGTGACCGCCCATTTTATTCACGCTCAAAGATTTACATTAACTTTTACACTCTCAACAATGTCTTTTATCTTAATCTGTTGATTTATATAAATTTAATGACCCCTTGTTTGACCTCTATCAACGATTCAAATGTCACTGACATAATTACTTAAATCCGTAACATGGACCTTGCCAGGATGCTGCACCCATTTCACTCGAATATATACTATATATATACATTAATAGATACTATACCAGTGATTTTATTAAGAAAAAATTTTTCAGTCAAAAACTGTATAATATAGTTTCGAAATTACTTCTACTGATAGCTGCATTTATTTTAATTTATTATAATTATAATATTGTAATTATTATTTATTATTATGAATATTAATTAAAAATTTAATAATAATTTAAAATTATTTAAATAAAATTTAATTAAAATTCTACACAAACCTTTAATTAATTTCTTAAAATAATAAAAATTTCACAAGAATACCAATTATTTACAAATTTTTTATACAAATTTTTTATAAATTTCTTCACACAATCATTCAATAATTATTTTCATAAATAATTAAATTTTTACAGAGGGATTAAATTATTTTCGTAAATAATAAAATTCTTTTTTAGGAATTCAATTATTTTCATAAATAATAAAAATGGTTTCCAGATTTTCTATTATTTTCAATACAATTTTAATCGAACTCCTCAAAAAATGTATAATTATTCTTAAAAATTTTATTACAATTCGTCAAAAGAATTTAATTATTTAAAAATTTATCGATAAAATTCTTTATGAGAATTCAATTTTATAAATATGCAATTATTCAACAAATTATTTATTTTTGTATTTAAATAATTGAATTCTAGTAGAATTTTCTAACAAAAATTGATTTAAAAATGGATTTCAGTTAAAATTTTAGATAATAATTGAATATTAAAAGCATTAGAGCGTGAATTTTTAGAAACAATTCAATTATTTTCAATATTTCATAAATAATAAAACTCATTGCAGAATTTCAATTATTTCTCGAGAAATGTAATTATTCTTAAAAATTTTATTAAAACTCATCGAAAAAATTCAATTATCTTGATAAATATCAAAATTCTTTCCAAAAATTCAATTATTTTCAGGAAATTTAATAAAATTCTTTGCGAAATTCAATTATTTTCATATTCCTCACAAAAATTGAATTCTTTTCGAAAGTAATAAAATTCTTCCCCGAAATTTAATTATTTTACAAAAATTTTTTTAATTCAAAGATTTTATAATCTACTATCTATTATTTTAAGAATATTCTCCAAAGGATTCAACTAGTTTCATAAATAATACAAATTTCATAAGAATTCAATTATTTAAAAAAGAATTGACGTACATTATTTTCGAAAAAAATGTTATTCTTAAAAATTTTATTAAAATTCGTCGAAAGAATTTAGTTATTTAAAAATTTGTTGATAAAATTCTTTGAGATTTTAATTTTAAGAAACATTCAATTATTTAAAAAATTATTTATTTTTGTATTTAAATAATTGAATTCTCAGAGATTTTTCTAATACAAATTGATTTAAAAATTAATTTCACTTAAAATTTTAGATAATAATTGAATAATAAAAGCATTATAAGCATGGATTTTTAGAAATAATAAATTGAATTTTGAAAAGGTTTTAAATTAAAATCTTTGAAAAATTGAATTTTTCATACTTTTAACTGAAAATTCTGTAGAATTAATGTTTTTGTTCAATCTAATTTTTTTTTAAATTATTTGAATTTTTATTTTTTAATATACAATTGAAGAATTTTTGAATAATCGATGAAATTTCGTAAAATTGAATTGTAAACAAGTGGATTTGAAAATTCTCAAAGAACTTTTTTTTACACTGAAAAAAATTCTTAGTAGATTTGACTACTTTTTAACTACTTTCCTTAGTTCAATAAGTCCCCAAAGATAATTTTGAACTTACATTAATTATCAGATATGTAGTTGAATGAAGTGATAATACAGTTGCATTAACTACTTTTCTTAGTTAAATAGGAACCAATGACAGTTTTGCAGTAGAATTAACTGCTGATATGTAGTTAAAGTTACTAAGATAACTCAGTAATAAAGTAACTACTGAAAATGGTAAAATAAAATTATTTATAATTTATTATAAATATTATCGAGTTGTATTTTTTTATATTTCCCCCTACCCACTTTTGTTTACCTATACCTTATTTATTTAATGTCTATATACCTAACGGAGAAAAATCTCTAAGCGTCGGGAGTTGAACGCTCGACCCTAACATTCGTAAACCGATAACCTAACCACCTAACCACGCTCGCCCGCTACGATGAGTTTCTTAATACTTAAAGGCATTCCTGACACAGTTCAACTGATAACTGTAGTTAATTTTACTACTTAAAGTAGTTGCATTTACAACTTTTCACAGTTGATAATCTTCTATAAAAATCTATAACATAAATTACATGGAAAATAATTCAACTCCTAGAAGAAGTAAAAACTACTACAAAATTAGTCTATCGAACTACTTTAAGTAGTAGAATCTACTACTTTCTATAGTCATTTCTATAACATACCTGCAGTTACAAAGTTAACTGTAAAATTCCATTAATTTAATTAATAATTTTTAACTACATAAAACAGTTAAAATAAGTATCAAAAGTAGCCAGACCAACTAAAAAAGTAGTTCGTTTTATTACTTTTTACTCTACTAAGGGGATGTAGTTGAAAATGTCTCATGTATTTTTTTCAGTGTAAATTATTAAAAATAATGCATTCATAGAAGAATTTTATTTGACACGAAAAAAAATTTAATTTTGGAAAAGTTACACAAAATTATAGTAGAAATTCAATTATTTTCAAGAGTAATAATATTCTTCGCAAAAATTAGTTCAAAAATAATAAAATTCTTCTTAGGGATTCAATTATTTTCTCAAATAAAAAAACATGAGTAATTAATCTTAAAAATTGTATTAAAATTCGTCGAAAGAATTCAATTATTTAAAAATTTGTTGATTAAATTCTTTATCGCAATTGAATTTTAAGAAACATTCAATTATTCAACAAATTATTTATTTTTGTATTTAAATAATTGAATTCTAGTAGAATTTTCTAATAAAAATTGATTTAAAAATGAATTTCAGTTAAAATTTTACATAATAATTGAATATTAAAAGCAATATAACGTGAATTTTTAGAAATAATTGAATTTTGAAAAAATTTAATTGAATTATTTTTATATTATTTGGAGTTTTTATTTTCTAATATTATATTTAATTGAAGAATTTACGAATAATTGGAATTTCGTAAAATTGAATATTGTAAAAAAATGGATTTCAAAATTGTCAAAAATCCTATAAAAATAGGCTTCCACATTTAAGTCAACATCAAGTTGTGGAAATTTTGACGAACTGTAGTATAATTAATTATTCACTTTTCTATAATAACATGTAGAATAAAGTGCAGTTTCTCTTATTATTAAATAAATTTTGTTTAAGGTCATGTTATTCAGTGTAAAGTTTTTCCATAGTCAAGTATATGGGGCACGTGACCACTGAATAACATGACCTTAACGAATCAGCACCATTTGAGATAATTTTTGGTACTTCGGAGTAAGATACATTAGATTTTCCTAAAATTCTCTTATTTCTCTCATACAATAATATTTCGTTTATCCATTTTAATGTCTTTGACAAATATTCAATAACAACATTTTTCTCATTTTCAACAATTTTTGCCATGTTATTAACATAATCCGATTTCGTATCTATAAATTTTAGCATTCCTTCTATATAATTTATTTCTAAAAAGCAAAAAAATTTAATAAATTGCAAAATATTCGAATTCATACAAAAATATTTCAAATTATCATTGTCTGCGATATTTATTGATGTTACGTTTTTATGAGCATTTTGCAAAAGATTAAAAATGTAGGAAAAATTTCCTAATTCAGTCATGTTAAAATCAATATTAATTCTTTTATTTAATTCCCGCAAAGATGAGCATAGTAAATCTTGAAATAAATAGTCAGTGTCGTAAGAAATTTGTTGTCCTTTTAAAAAATCATAAAATTTCTGTGCATATTCAGTGGAATTATTTCCTTTATAATGTGAATGGTGATCATTTTTAAATTCTGTTAAACTATTGTAAAAAGTGGCGTATTCTGAAAAATATTTTGGATAGTGTCTGTGAAATTCTTGATGCAGAGAAATTAAATATATGGGTTTTAAAAAACGGTTCCTACAGTTTGTTGTGAATAAGTGACAGTTCTCTGGTAGAGCGGGAATTACTGAATCTGGACGAATACTATTAACTTCATCACGAGTAGAATAATTGGAAATATTTACAAAGTAAAATACAACTTTCGAATAATCTGCAATCATTTTGTACTCGAAATAGGTAATAAATACGTCGTGATATCGTTCGTAGTTTAATGAATAAACATAATAATAAGTATCATTGGATAGAGTCAGATGAACATGTTTCATTATTTCATCATATAGAAATTGGTTTTTATAATGAAGATCCCCTCTTTTTAATTTTGGTACTACTCTTTTACCGAGAATAGATTTAGCTTTCCAAACACCAGTCAACATATCATTTACTACGATTATTACAAATCTCTTGAAATTCATCTCAGGAAGTAAAGCATCGATTGTTTCCCAATAATTGTAAAATAAACAGGATGAACTTAGAATAGACTTCATACTCTTTTCTCTCTGTAGAAAGAAATTTTTATAATTAATTATTTATTGTTACTCTCAATATCATACTTTCCATGCCGTTAGGACAAAAATTTGTGTTTGCAACACGAAAATAACTAGTTTATATATAAAGCACATTATAGCAGACTTCGCACTCGATAATTAATTTTTAAAAAGTAACAAAAAGTATCTTTGAATCTAAAAAAAGTAGTAAAAAAGTAAAAAAGTAGCTATGGAAAAATTAAACTTTACGACCAAAAAACACGTTTTAGACACTTCACAAAACTAACAAAAATTCCATTCTGTATTTTTTATTTTCCCGACTTTTTCCTAATTTTGATTAAAAATATTTACTTCTTTCTTATCCTGCTAATAAATTTAATTCTTGCACAGAATTTTATTATTCATGACAGAATTTAAATAATTATAAAAATAATTTCATTTTTGCGAAGAATTTCTATTCTCGCCATTTGAATCAGTGAAATTTCACTGAAGATCAGTTAAACATGATTGAAATTTTAGTCATTTTTCATTGATTGACTAATTAAAAAATAACTGAAATTTTCAATATGTGTGACAGAAATTTTAAGTATTTTTTTAATTGTCGAATCAGTGGAAAATGGCTGAAATTTCAGTTATTTTTAACTGATTTTCAGTGAAATTTCACTGATTCAAATCGCGAAAATAGAGTCACTGATTATCAGTCAAATTTCACTTATTTTCAGTGGAATTTCACTGATTCAGATTTAGAGAGCATGAAAAAAATTGAATTCTTGCGAAAATTATTACAGAAATTTTTTAAATAATTGAATTTGGAAATTTTATGAAAATAGTATAAATATTGAAAATCATTCAATTCCGAAAAGTGTTTAAAAATAATTAAATTTTACAAAGAACTCAATTAAAATTTTTGACAATAATTAAATTCTTATTGCGAACGATTTTTTTAGAACTTTTAAAAATAATTCAATTCTTGAGATGAATATTGTTATTTATGAAAATAATTGAATTTTGCAAAAAATTTTATTAAAATACCTCAAAATAATTGAATTTTCGGAAATAATTTTATTATTTATAAATATAATTGAATTCTTTCAAAGAATTATTTATGTAAATAATTGAATTCTTGGGAAGAATTTTATTAAAATCAAAAAGAATAATTGAATTATTTCAAAAAAATTTAATAAAAATTGTATTTAAAATAATTAATTTCCATCGAACAATTTTATTAAAATATTTGAAAATAATTGATTTTTTCGAGGAATGAAATTAAATTTTTAAGAATAATTAGATTTTTTGAGAAATTCCTGTAAAATTGTAATAAAAATAATTAAAATCCTGCTATGAATTTGATTATTTGTGGAGATAATTGAATAGTTGCTAAGAATATTATTAAAATTTTCAAAAATAATTGAATTTCTGAGAAGAATTTTATTATTTATGAAAAGAATTGAATTATTGCGAAAAATTGTATTAAAATGTTTAAAAAGAATTGGATTTCTGTTAAAAATTTGGTTATTTTTGAAAATAATTGAATTCTTTATAAGAATTTTATAAACATTGTTTTAAATAATTAATTTTTTGGAAATATAATAAAAAATATTATGAACATTTTATTTTAAATAATATTGAATTCTTGTGGAAAACTGTAAAAATAATTAAATTTTTTGATTAATCGATTTAAAATAGTATAAAAAATAATTGAAATTCTTCGATGAGTTTTATTATTTATGAAAATAATTGAATTCTTGCTTAGAATTTTATCAAAATTTTTTTTAATATGAATTTTTATGAAAAATGTTTTTATTAGTGAAAGTATTTAAATTATTGTGAAGAAATTGTATACAAATTTTGTTAAATAATTGATTTTTTCGACATTTTTTTTTAAAATGCTATTCTAAATTAATTGAATTTCTGTGGAAAGTTTGTTATTTATAAAAATAATTGAATTTTGGATGAATTTTATAAATTTTTTTTTATAATTAAATTTTTTTATTGCGAAATTTTATAAAAATACTAGATATTGAAAATAATTTTTTGATTTCTAGTGTTAGCGAATTTAAAGTAATGGAAATTCTAAAAAAAAAACAAAAATAGTAGCTTTTAGTCGCTGAAATCTAAAAAAGTACCCAAATAGTTGCATAACGTAAAAAATTAGTAAATATTAGGTTTTCGTAGACGAGTGCGAAGCCTTCATTAGTTAATTATATTTTTTTGCTTACCGTTAAATTTGAAACCAAGTTGTAAGTAGTATTCATTACACTCCTCCAATTTTCATTTACATGTGGTATTGGCTTTTTCAAATTTTCAAGTGCAAGTAAAAGGAAATCATTTTTCAAGAAATATTCCTTTTTGTACAAGTTCATTAAACTGTTGAACCAATTCAAATTTTTGACCAGTGATTTAGCGACAAGTTGTAGGCTATCTATCCAGGCTGTTATGTTGTAGGTTGTTATATGTGATAGATCTTTTATAAAACAGAATAATTTAAATATATGTATTTTGTGTTCATATTTGCATATATTACCAAATGAGGAATCATTCTTATTCAGAGAAAATATGGTTTCGTTAATCCAGTTTAAATAATTAATTCCAGTAAAAGGGTGTTTTAGATTCTTTTCTTGAATATCATCATAAAAAATTTCTTCCGTAACATCTAGATTTCTTGACTTAAAGCATTTTAGGCTTCTTTCGAAAAGACTTGCCTTTTTACCCTAATTATTGCTTCTTTGAGTTTTTTGCAGTAATGAATTAAAATGGAGTAAAAAAGTTTTGTTCTCAGAATTAATGTTAAATCCAATCGAATCGCAAGCGTAATCATTGTCGAATGCTTTTAGGGATGTGTATACTTTGTTTTATCACTAAACAATTGTTCTCGTAATGTGAATAATTCCGAGAAACTTTTACCAGTTTTTTGTTTTTGGTTTACATATTCTTCCAGAGGACATTTGGTGCAACTTCGTTTTAGAGGAACTAAAATATCTTCGAAGAATGGATACTCTTTCTTTAAGTTAACAAAATGAAATGAACACCCAACTGATCGCTTAATAGAATTTTTTGACAGTATATGGTGAAAAAATTGTGTGGAATGTTTACTGGATAAACAAAATAGTATACATTGTCAGCTTCAAATAGATAAAAATTGTCCTCTATCATTTTATATACACGGAAAAAAAAAGTTCGAGGATTATTCGGGAACTTCGTTCTTAACTCTTGGATACGGCGGGTAGTACACAGATAACTAAAGGTTGCCTCGTTTAAATATGTAATTTACTATTTCTCTACAAATTATAACTATTTCACCGCTTCTCGGCAAACTGTTCTTGAAAAAGTCGGGAACTGTACAAGAAAATCGAAAAGTTAGGCGAATGCAAGAAAAAATGGATTCTGCTTCCCCCCTCCCACTTCCCCTCATTAATAAGTGCGCACACACACACACATTTATCCTTGAAGGTCACATACAATTTTTATTTTTTATTAAGTTTCTGAAATAGAAAAAACCATATTAGAGAAAAATCGACGGCGGCTGGAACAGAACTCGCGTACCCGAGAATAGAAGTCCGGCGTCTTATCCAGCTGAGCTAAACAGGCGAGTTAAATACCTCAGCATAAAATAAATATATAAGGCACGCAAGTCTTACTGACGGTGAGACTTGTTGAGACTGGTGCGCACAGTTTCTGCGCACCAAGATTCCTTGACGAGTTCCCGAAAATTTCAGAAACAGTTGCGGCCAGTGCCATGAACTTTACATGAGAAAGTAATGAAAAAGAGACTAATGGACTATTTATAGCTTTTTCTAATACAGTTCCCGAATTTCTTTCAAACATTCATTGATTACCATTGAATGTTCGTCGCTAGTTCAGAGCTGTTACCACGTATCCAAGAGTTAGGAAATAATTCCTGAAACATCTGGGAACTTTTTTTTTCCGTGTATCTCATTCAAATAATTGTTGTTTTTAATTTCATTACTGTGTAATATTCTTTTGCTGTGAGATATATTTCTGACTCTATTTATTCCGTCAATAAATTCACCTGCTATAACTACTATTAATGGTTTGTAATTTTTTTGAAATAGCAAGCGATCGATTTGAAAGGAATAATCATAAAAAGTACAGATGTCAACATCAGGCATGGATTGGTTTCTTTCTTTTTTTTCTACCTGTAAAATACCGATTTTGAGAAACATTTCGAAAATTTTTGGCACCTATTCCTTTGAGAGAAAAAAACATTTTCCTAAATGCAACAATATTTTAAGAAATTTACAGGAAAATATTTCAAAAAATTTCTGAAATATTAAAAAAAAATATGTGCAAGTTTGTCATAAACAATTTGATGTTTTTAGAATCACGACTGTTTGATAAATATTTTTTAAATTATCTAAAAGAACAATATTTTGATTGGTTTTTTTATTTTCAAATTTCAAATCTTATCATTAATGCAAAATGCAAATATTCAACAAGTAAAGTTAGAATATTACTTATGAAAAAATAATTTTAAATTATTAGAGTATATTCTAAACTGTCTTTTAAGTTTCTTTATTTCTGAAAATATTATCATTTATCAGATTTATAAATAGAAAAATAATAGAAACAGATAATTATGAATAGTTTTAGTTTTTATTTATTCCTTTACAGGAAATATACAATATAAAAGTTATGTTTAAACAATAATTGAGGTGGAGTTTTTTTCTACAATTTTACTAATTTGTAATAAATAAATAATTACTGATTTTATCGAGAAATAAAGAATTAAAGTTTAACTTACATCGTTTTCTGTCAAAATGGAAATTTTCCCAACTATCAGTAGCAAAATTAAACCCAATACCGCCAAAAATTTATTACGGTAGTCCATGTTTGGTTGATGCACAAATATTTGCTTTTGACACTTTTGTACTGAAGTACTTTTGAAATGAAAAAAATTTTCTGCTATAATGAAAAATAATAAAGATTAAAACATTTTTTTAATATTTTTCTCTTATGACATTATTTTCCTACAGTTCATAAAATAAAATCGCGTGCACGAAAAATATAAATATTAAATCGCTGACAAGTTTGTATTTCAGCATTTTTATAGTTTTACTGCTTTAAAATTTAATCCTAATTCTTTTTACAAAAAGTTTTAATGATGAAAATGACTGAAATTTTTTTAAGAGTTTGAATTTAATTTATATTAAAAATATTTAGTACAGTTTTTGTTTTATTAATTCTAATATTTTTTTTAACTAAATTTGTAGTAAAAAAACTAAAAATTAGGAAAAATTCTATTATTTTTAATTATTATTGTTGTTGTTAATTTTAATTAACTTTAATATCAATTAATTATTTATCCAATTAAAACAAAATTCTATTATTACCTATTATTTTTATTATTATTCAGCGCCTATTAATTGAATTAAATGAAATTAAATAAATTTAAATTTTAATAATTTATTTTTAGAATTGTCTAAATTATTATTGCTTTAAGTAATAAAAAAATCCGTTCCTTATAAATAAATATCAATTATACCTACTATAATTATTCTTTACAATAATAAAAAAAAAATAAATGATATAAATTATTATAGGTAAACACTTTTAATAAAACTTAGTGATTCCATTTCAGTAATTAATTAATTAATTAATTAATTAATATTAATTAATAATTTGTTATTGTTATAATTATTAAATACCATTTTGGTAATTTTGCAGAATAGTGACTAATTAATTATAATATTAATAATTAATTATTATTAATTATTGAGTTGGTAATAAAAAAATAGTCAATAAAAAAAAATAATTGATATTAAAATACGTGAAAAGAATCTCTTGAACTTGAAATGTCAAATAAATATTATTGCGAAACGTATATATTATATGCAGTAATAAGGGGTCATTGTCATAAAAGGATGTTATTCTTTATTAAAAGAACATAAAATGAAAAGCGCGTGCCGATGCGATGTTATAAAGAAAACTAGATCGTTTAAACTGACATTGCAACATATATGCGTGTGTATATATATTTTTGCCAGTCTCTCTCTCTATATTCAAAAGAGCGCTCTCTTTATCCATTTATGTGCACGCATTCACATGGCTTCCTTAATAAATGTCTCACAGATATCAATTTTCATTTTTTTCTCTCAAATCATATAATTTTATACGTATACAGTAAGAAAAGCTATCCGTCAGTCATAGGAAAGTATGGGAATCGCATAAGTCTGTCTCACTCCCACTCATGGGATATGACTGACGTGGTAGGTTTTCGTACTGTATATATAATTCAAAAATTTTTGCAATAAATTTTCTTATCGAAATTTTAATAGTTTTGCAAAAGAAAAATTTTGTTTAATTATTTATTATTATTATTATTATTATTATTATTATTTTACACTGAAAAAAAAGTTCTGGTTGGAATTACCAGAAAACCTGTTTTTTACTAGAATTTCGTGTTAAATATGCCCTAACTAGATTTTTTCTGGTGTAATAATTGTTGTTTCAATTTTTATTTAAAATTTACTTGATGTATTTTAATATTTAATTTTTGGATAAATTATTTTTATTTACTCCACTTGTAAATTTTCTTTACTTATTCAACTGTAAATTATTTTAATTTACTCAATAGTAAATTATTCTTACTTATTCAACTGCAAATTATTTTTATTTACTCAATTGCAAATTTTTTCTTTACTCAATAGTAAATTAGTCCTATTACTCACTAGTAAATTACTACTATTTACTCAATAGCAAATTTGTACTATTTAGGTACTTAATTGTAAATTAGATTAGTTTTTTATTTATTCAATTGCAAATTTTTTATTTACTTAATAATAATTTAGTACTATTTACTCAATTGTAAATTAATTTTATTTACTTAATTGTAAATTCTTTTTATTTATTCTAATTTAGTTTTGTCTATTCAATTGTAAATACTTTTTATTTTTTCAAATTTGGTATTACAGTTTTTTTTTATTCAATTGAACATTGAAGTTTATAAAAATAAATGTCAATCTAAATGCGGAATTGCGTAGAAAAATTTGAAAAAAAATAACGGAAAGAAAATACTTTCTGTGGAAGTCCAAAAGAAGTGAAACTTGTTTTTCAGGAAAAAAATTAACATTTTACTGAGAGAGAGAAACATTTTTTTTTCTTTTTCTCTCTCTCCTCTCAATATATACATTGATTCATTATGTAATATAATTAAATCATGATTTGGTTTTGCGGAAGACAATTTTATAGAGAGTTATACTTTCCTTTTTTTCGATGGGATATAAAAATGATTGGATGATGCTTGACAGTGAATATAGAAAATTGATTTCGATTTACTGTTTGTGAATTTTAATACGATATCCAAATGTTCATTTTCTTTTTTACTTTCTTTACTTTTACTTTTTTCTTCTTTCTTCAAAGAAAAACATTGTGAAAACAAATTTTTTTTTAATATATAGTTTATTATTGGCATTTTTTTAGGACAGGGAATGTATTTTTTAAAATTCAATTCTTTAGTTATTTTATTGTAAGTGAAAAATGAAAAAAAGTGGAAAATATGATTTCGTTTAGTTTAATTATTTCTTTTGTAAAAAAAAATATTATGAGTACCATAAGTAAACTGTAAATATTCAAAAATACATTTTTATATATATACCAGTGAATGAAAAGAAAGAAAAGAAAAAAAACGTTGACTTTTATTTTTCTTTCGTCGATCGAAAGAGAGACTATATAAAGTTCCGCGGATATCGACATTTTTCTCGATTAATTAGTAAAGAAAATCTCCTGAAAAACCAGTTTTTCTCCGAGTAAGAGGCACATTCATATAAATTCAATGGCATTTTGCTATATTTTATTTCTCGACTTAGTAGTAGGACATTTTTTTTTTAAACTTTATTCACAAGAAAAATGTCTTTTTTTCAAATTTGACTATAAATAATTAATTAATAATTCAAAATTTGTAATAATAACTCTATATAATTAATAATTTAATTAATAATTGAAAATTAAAGAATTTGATAAAAAGATTCCGAAAATTTCGAAAACTATTTTTTTTCCAAAGAAATAATTTATATTCAAAATTTTAGTCTTTGCAGTTTTTCTTGAAGGTATCAAATTGATTCAAAATTGGATTGAATTTTTCGTATCGATTCGCTAAAATTTGATATTTTCAGTAGTCTATAGTGTATAATTAATGAAATTAAATCGTAATTAATTTAATTAAATCGTATTTAATTTAATTGCAATAATTAAATTAAATTACATTTCCTAAATTAAATAAATTTAATTTTCTTTAATTATAATTTTTTAGTGTCAATACGTTGCAATTTGATACTTTCAGCAGTTAATAGAGTAATAAATCTAATTAATTAAATAGTATTAATTAATTTTACTTTCATTGTGATTAATCAAAGTAAATTGTAATTTAATTTACTTTAATTATAATTGATTTAATTAAACCGTAATTAACTAAATTTACTTCAATTATAATTAATGCAATTAAATCACAATTAATATAATTTATTTAATTAAAATGAATTTAATTAAATTAAAATTGAATAATACTTCAAAAAATAAATTTAGAATTTAATTAAGATTAGAATGAGAATCGAATTAAGTAAAATTAAAATTGAATATTACTTTAAAAAATAAATTTAGAATTTAATTAAAATTACAATGAGAATCGAATTATAAATTAATTAAATTAAAATGAAAAAAAATATTTTCCGAAAAAGTTTGGTAAAATATTTTATTTCTTTTTGTTAAAAAGTATATTGTTGGCTCACTTTTTTTTATAATAATTAAAATTGTTTTAACTTCCTGTCGTTTCAGTGAAAACGGATGGTTATTTTGTTTCACGAAATAATAAATAAATGTGGGGGGGGGGGGGTTGAGGGAGAGGAGGGAAATTGAAATAATGAATAAAACACGCTGTCAAAACACTCGGAGCGTGTCCAGAGAGCGTCGATGTTGTGTAACTCATATATATAGACCGGAGTAACATCGCTCATGTGTCTGGGAAAATGCAAAAATATTCCACGGTGTCTTGATTACCTTTATCGTAATATAGAAATTTTTTTTCTATTTATTTTTACACTTACTGCGAGAGATTTGGAAATTATTTTCATAATAACTAGTTTTTTTTTATTATTTAATATTTAATTTCATGTAGGTAACAATATTATTGATATTTATTTAGATATCCTCTTTACTTATTCGGGTTTACACGTAAATTATTATTTATTTTCAATATAAAGGGGATTTATTATTCATTTTTCTTATTTATTTTATTTTTATTTATTTTTATTTTTTTATTCATTGGAATGAATTTTGTGGAAAGTGATTTTTGGAGCATACTAATAATGATAATTATAATTCATAATAATTATAAAATAAATATAAAAATATCGAAAAGAAAAGTAAATTAAAAATTTAAATAAGTTTATATTACTTGTCAAAGTCTCTAAATTTGATTATAAATAACTTAGAATTGGGAATATTGACGAAAATCTTGAGATTCAATATGGAGATGTTATTTTCCACCTGAGAACGCCAAGGTCACCGCTAGATGGCAGTTCAGTTGACAAAATCAAATTCCACGCCACCTAGCGATGATCTTGGCTTTCTCAAGTGGAGAAATTCATTTTTCCCTCAAAAAAATGTTTATTTAAATTAGTTTCTTTTTATTATTTGTGAAATTCAATTCAAAACGATTCAATTTGAAATTCGAAACAAAAAAATTAGTAAAATAACATAATATAATAATGAAAAGAATAGAAAATAATTATAATAATGAAAAAAAGAAAATAATAAAAAACAAGTAGATAAGGAAAATAGTAATAATAATACAAAAGTTAATAATAATAATAATGATATTAATAATAATAATAATAATAATAATAATAATAATAATAATAATAATAATAATAATAATAATAATAATAATAATAATA